CCCCTAGTGGCCATTCCGTAAATGACTTGCTTTCCGCCATAAAAACGCTGCCCCAACTCACTTTCCGAAGCTAATAACCCAGCTCCCGTCTTGAAACAGCTGTCCTTCAGAACGAAGCCAGAAGAGCTCAACGCCCAGCAGTTTGGGTTCATGACATGCTTCCCCTGACCAGGGATCAACCTCTTTTGTGTTAAAAATCAGAAGGGCGATAAGAGAATGTCACCGCCTGTTCAAAAACGTAAGGACGACCATGTTTCTATCCCAACCGCGGACTCACCGTGCTGAGAGGAGGAAGAGGACTTCTCCAGCATGGATTTGTAGAGGTTGCGGAAGGACCAACTCAAGTCCTGAAAATTGATCTCTGAGTAGGAGAATTTGAAGTCATGGTTGGTGTTATACAAGGGAGGGGGACCTTCAGCGCTTTCCCGGCCTGGAGCCCCTGCTGCCACTGCTCCGCCATCCACAGACCCTGTGCCCTGCAAAAAGAGGCAAGAACGACTTGATTCGCGTCCTAAATGAGGGACCAATACAACCTTTTAATGGTCACCAAGCTCTCAGGCCTGTCTTCTTTATCCTCTCCCAACTTTTCAAACAAAGACTATCACTTTCTCTTTCTTTTCTCATTCATTCTTATCTTGCCCTTTCCTGTGCTACATCCATGTCCTTCTTTGCCTTCTCATAACTCTTTTGGCTCCCTTTCTTCTCACCTTTTTTTTTTTAAATCTTTCTCAAAGTTCTGTCTCTCTCTCTCCCTCTCAGTTTTCCTCTTTTGCTTTCCCCTTCTTTCCCAATTTATCTGACTAGTATATCACAGATATTCAATACATAATTTTGCACCGACAGATGCATGAATCTATTCTTCCTCCTTCCTTCCTTCCATCCATCCATCCATCCATCCATCCATCCATCCATCCATCTATCCATCCATCCATCCATCCACCCGCCCACCTGCCCTTATGCTCCCTGTCACCTCTACTACCTACCTGGCTGTAGCTGGTGATAGATGTGGGGCTCTGAAGTGACATCTGAGGATTCCCCTCAGGAGGCAGTGAGGCTTCTCCACTCCCTGGAACACCTCCCCGGGGGCTCTTGCTTGCCTCCTGTTCTGGTGAGTCTTGGGATAGCTGAGGGTTATAAAAGAAGAAAAATATATAAGCAGAAGCTAAACTTCCTCCCAAGACCCATGGTTTCACCTCTGTTGGTATTTATTCTTTGCTTCAAATATAAGAAGAGATTGAAAATACAGGAATGAATGTGGAATGAGCAGCTGGATCAGAAATGGCATCTCTCCATGAGGTGAGGACTTACATCATCATCTGGAGGGTGTCTTCTCTTTCGGGAGATGTCAGGACAGGTGTCGATTGTCCAATAAGAGCCCTAGAGGGAGAATCAGCACCATGGAGAACAAAATCATTATATGTGGAAATTCCCACCTTTGGAAAAGTAGATGTTTGGGAGGATTTTAACATAAAATTACAGTTATAATGAGAAAAATGACTGGAGTTTCACACAGAAACCTGAGGGTACTGGCTATTTTTGAGGAGTAAATCTGTCCTAAAAGCTCACTGTACTGGCTATTTTTGAGGAGTAAACCTGTCCTAAAAGTATATCAGAGATACCCCTGTGGTGCAAACACAGGCCTCGATTATTCTGGAGGAGCAGAGCCGTGGGATATAGTTCAAAAAGCTGGAAATGGCAGATGCAACACCTCCCTTCCATGTGATCCAAGGCGAGACTCTTGGACTTAGGCAACCACATCTGTCAAATGAAGAGAATGACCTAGCCCTTCTTCCCTTTGAAGATAAAAATCACGGGATTTTTGTATAGAAACATTCGTACAACTGTTATTAAGTCTACCTTTTACATCCAGAAAAAGTGCCACACCCAAAAAATGGGGGCAGCAAAGTCAACTTTATCATAAATATTTCTATTAAAAAAAAAATTTCATAATCTTCTTTAGTCATTCATTCTAATGGGGAGGCCCACAAGCTTGATTGCCAAGCTCTTCCTTTGAGAAAAAAAAAATAAAGCTGCTTCTCTAATTAACACGATTTCCTCTTATGGGTAATTAAAACAACCACAAGACTCTGGGTTGTCAACTACTTCTCTCTCCTTCCTGCTCCTCCCTTCAATGCTTACAGCAGTATCTCACCTTCCCAGGGTCATCCCGAGGTCTGGGCACCTTCCGGAAACACTTGTTGAGAGAAAGGTTGTGCCGAATTGAATTCTGGGGGAAGCACAAACAAGTTAGATTTGAGCATTGTGCAAAGCAGAAAATTTTCTAATAGGGCACAGAGGGACACAAAAGGAAATAACATACAATAGAGTTCAAGCATCGGGGTAAAGTTATCACCTCTCAACTCTTCTGACAAAAGAGATTACCTATCAGACAGCAACAGCAATGAGGTAAGAAAAATGCAGATATCCTACTGATGAGCAGTAATGACTATAAATTTGATTATCATGTGCTTCTAGAAAGCTAATTATATAGTTTTTCAATCTTTCTACCCAATTGACAACAGATATATAAATGCCTCAAAATCACATTGCCCAGTTCCTATATCATTCTATCTGTAGTAAAAGCACACTGCATTAAAACTACTTATACAAATGATGACAAATATAAATTATGAGTGAAACAAAGGCACAGTTCACCTTTGTTTTCTCAACAGCCCATAGGATGGTCACATTCGAAGGAAAGAAATACTGTTGTGTAAATGTGTTGGAGGTTGTGGTAGCAGGGACATATTTATAAAGGAAAAAACTGAATGCCGTCAACAGTCTCCAGCTCATCATCATCTGGTTTGTATCTCAACTGGTGATTCATAGAGTGAGAGAACTATATTAAATCCTCATTCTACTCAGCAATTAGCAAATGAATTTGCTGCTCTGAAAGATTGAAAACATCAGTCTTCTCCTTTGGCTGGAAGAGGAGACCCCTTCTTCCTTTATCTCCAGCCAAATGACTTATCCTCTCATTGCTTGCTTGTGATGAGCAGTTGGTGAAAGACCTAATTATATATATTTTTTTCCTTGGTAAACAATTTTTTAAAAGATGATCACTATGTGCATTGGAAATCTGATGAGATGTCTACCACTACATAGGAAGGAGCAATGCCATGCGTTGCACAGTGACTTGAACAGAGTGGCAATCAGTATTTGTGAAATAAATGACTCTCCTTTTTGAGGAATCAGAAGGTAAGAGAATCTGAGGAGCAACAGCATCCTGCTGTCCACATAACTGTACTTAGAGGCTCAGTGTTGCTGGAGTTACTCTGAGATACCTAATGAAGGGATATACCACATCTCTGAGACAGGTCAAAGTGAACTGGACAAGGTTATAGGAAAAACAGAAGTAGAAAAAAAGGTTGCTGCAGGCTGAAAACAATCCCTGGTTATAGAAGCCATCCCACCTTCCAACCAATGCCGGCATTCTTGTAATAGGGGAAGTTATCGCAGATCCAGCGGTAAATCTCACTGAGGGTCATCTTCTTGGCTGGAGAGGAGTTGATGGCATAGGTGATGAGGGTGGCATAGCTGTATCGTGGTTTGCCATCCTGGTGGACCGCTGCCTCATCTTTGCTCAAGGTGGCATTAGGATCTGTGGGTGAGCCTGGTGGACACTTGCGGCTGCCCCCAGGAGGCCCAGCCTGGGAGGCACTCCCAAGCTTTTCAATGGTAGCTCGGAGGGTCAGCTGGGGAAGCCAGTCTATGGAGGTGAGGCTACTCTCTAGGTCAGAAGCCATGGTTCTTCTGGGTTCTACAGAGAAGAGTGCAAAGGGGAGAAAAAAATAGAAGAGATAAGTGATACCTCTGGTTTAGGTAGCAAATAATACTTGAATCCTATTGCTTTAAAGGAAGTAGAGTTTCTTCCTGCTATAATTCCCACAGATGTGAGACAGACACAAACACAGTGGTCCCCAACCGTTTTGACACCAGGGACTGGTGTTCCTACGGGAATCTAATGCCTGATGATCTGAGGTGGAGCTGAGGTGGTGATGCTAGCGCTGGGGGGAAGCTGCAAATACAGATGAGGCTTCACTCACCTGCTGCTCACCTCCTACTGTGTGGCCCCATTCCTAACAGGCTGGGGGCGGTACCTATCTGCAGCCCAGGCCTGGGGGTTAGGGACCCCTGCCATAGGAGACTCCACTCATGCCACAGCCCTCAACTACGTGTTCCCAGAACCCCAAAATGGATATATCACCAATTAGCTACCAGATGATAGACTGATACTTATTCTACATCTCAGTGTGGAACATGGCCAAGAGGCCTCCTCCTTCATGCAGAACTAAAAGTGAGATCAAACCACCCATCAAATTGAGCTATTCCTTCTATTCTCCTTACTTAAAGCCCTACAACATAGTATTTCAAAACTATATAGAAATAATTTTTAAAAAGCACTTAGCAAGTAAAATCAACCAAAGTCTATTCTCCAATTATGGGACACTTGTTATAATTTACATAAATGTACAAGTAGACAACACAAGTGAACATATAAAGAAAAACAGTCTAAGTAAACAGAAATATACACTAATGAAACACACACCTTTAAAGATATTTCATATTAGATATATTTGAGCATTTGCCCTTTTAGCCCACATACATGTGCACATGAGGCATATTAGATATATCCAAAGCATAAATTACATGACAACCAGCAAAGAACAGATGTGAGACAGACACAAACACAGACATCACAATTAGCTCTATAGCATACATTACCAACAGAGCACAAAGTCACACACAGAGGTAACAGATCCTAAGTACAGCTGCCCTCACACCTTGAAAGCTACCCCCTTGCAAGCTCCTGCCCACAGACACCTACACCAGGAAGAAGTCATCAACAAGGACCTCCCACTTCTCAGCCTTCTGGGCTCCACTGAGCCAGGGAGACACCCAGCTGAGTGCGCACCGGTAACAATCAGATAGCCTGGCTAAAAATAGCCACTCTGGGGCTAGGAGCTGGCTCCCCTTCTCCCGCCCTCCTCCTCTCTCCCTCCTTCCCAGCCAGGCACGCACAGCTCGCTGCACCTCCATGCAAACTCCTGGCGCTGCCAAACCGCCCACGCCTGACGTTTGCACGCCCTGCTGCCACCTACACAGCCTGGGCGCTCTCACTGGCAGAGAGGTATAGCTAGAGTGAGGTGTTAGTGGGGGGAGGAGAAAAATGATGGGTGACATCTGTATTACAGGGTCTAGAAAGGCTGGCAGGAACTACTTGGTAGCCATTTGGCACTCCCCTAGAGCTGATGCCAGCAACCCCCTAAGCACTTGCTGCCTAACAGGTTTGTGCCTGCACAGCCACCAGATTGCAACTAGTATTTCTTCCTTGTATCCCTGCGTACAATCCCACCACAGGGCATTTCTCTATCATGCCTCAGAGTTCAGAATCCTGAACAGAAATGTATTATGTATGTAACCTCCAAATCCACACCCAGAAACTATGTATAAGCATATACATACAACAGTACACAAATTCACAGTTTGCCATTCAAAGCTCAATCCCAGCTATGGCTGCCTAGTCCTCTCCTGCCTCCAACACATCTTCCAGGCCATCGGTCCCTCTTCTAGTCAGTGACTCTGCTCTCCTGGACACTTACCCCTTCCTCCTAAGGGTCAGCATTCACACTCATCTCCCTCTCCCCCAAGGTCCACACCCATGCAATCTTTGCATGTACACACTAGTACCCTGCCCTCCTCACCAGCAACACACCCACTCTACAAGGCTGAAGGAAACACCTTAGTGCCTCAGGGGACTGGGCAGCCAGAGACCCAATTGCAAGCCAAGAATCACAGGAGAGGAAGGGTGGGGGGCATGTTTATAAATAGCTTCATGAAGGGGGTTCCCCTTTATCCTTATCTTCTCTCCCCAGCACCCTCTTTTTCATCTCACCACCATGGAAACTTAGAAACTAACAGGGACATTTAATCATTCCAAGAAGCCTCAGATCTCCTACCATTATACCAAGTCAAAACACCACAGCCTCTGGGGTAAAGCAGGGCACTTTGGGCAGTCACCAGGTCCCGTAGCGGAGGTATCCCAGCTGGACAGTACCATGACAATGAGTAGGTTCTCAATGACCTACCCAGGATTTCTCCTGGGTCCTCCCCTTTCTGGGGAGGTCTGTGAAGAAGTTTTACCCTATTCCTTGTGATCTCCTGCTAAAGATCCCTAGGAAAGCTCATCTTAAAAACACAGAAGACTTTGGTGGATATTTCATTTGAAATGCACCCAACATTGGGCAGCATGAGAGTAGACTTTAATTACCGAACCCATGTGGCACATGCCAATCACTGTGACTTCTGGGAAGGAAGCACTCTCAGCCTTTTGCTTGTTGTTCCATGCCCTTTCCTGTCCTTACCTCAGCATCAGGTTAGGACACTGAGGTTAAACTTAACCACTCTCCAAGCGCCCTCCCGGTCAGCCCTCCAGCTACCGCCCTAGCACTCAAAATATATTCCAGTTTTACCAGCTACAAGAAGCTTGCAGCAAAAGATCCTTCTGATCTGCCAGCACCACTCTCCTTTAACCCATCCCACTTCCTCGCTCCTGTCACTTCCCCATTCTCGAAGGGCAGCCCAGTGTGAAGAACCTCAGAAACTGAGGTTCCTCCACTCTATTCCCAACCTTGACGCGGACTCACTTAAATGTCCCTAACCACCCCACGCTCCCTGAAGTCTTGATGCCTCAGTTTCCCCCTTCGATAAAAGGGATGAAGTCATAAACACTGCCAAAGCCTCATCCCTGGAGGGACATAAATGAAGCTTAATGAGCTCGTGGCTGCCACACATTCCACGCGCCCCAAAATAATGGCATGAGGCTAATGTTCAGGGCTATTATTAGAAAGGCAAACAAGAGGTACTTCCATTTCTCAGTCCAACCAACCTAGTTACCCAGACCTCTCTCTCCAGGTGGGCCTCGTGCCACTGGGCTTGGGCAGAACCTGAGTCAGGCCACATTCTTCTCTGCGTGTTGGAAGACTGAAAGGAAATACCCAGGGAAACTGGGAAAGGCAGCCAAAGGGCAGGCTCCATCACATCCACAGGACGTCTAATGAAGACTACAGTACTGGGAGAAAGGCGAGAAAAACAGAAAGACATTCTGTTGTAGTGGAAGACTGACCTGGGATGAGACGTGTAAGATCCAAAATTACAGGCACAGTTTTCTTCCCAGTTTTATCTGAAAGGCTAGTGATTGTTCTCTGTATGGTGCCAAGGTCAGGTATCAAGGAGGGATAACTTCCTGCTTTGTACATAATGCCAAAACTAATAGAGCAGTGGCTAAGTTAACTACATTACCAATTACCAGTCAGTCTGCCTGCGTTTCCGTCTGGGCTCCACTACCTCAAGCAAGTAACATACTGTGTGCTGTAGATTCTTCATCTATAAAAGAGATAATAACTGTACCGACATAGGGTTGTTGTTTGGATTACCTTGAGTAAATATTTTTAAAGCACTTATAAGTGTAGCTATTACCATTTTTGAATGGGGAAAAAAGAGAATATCAGAAATGAAAAATTAGAAAACTGACAGGTCATCGAGGAAGGACTGGAGGCAGAAAGCCTGCAGTGGTTTACACTGCAAAGGCTGCACTGAGTTTGCAATAGTTTTCAGGATGTTAGAGTCTCAAGCTTTTCCTTTGGGAATAGTCTCACCCTATTGCTGATCAATGCCAGGACCAACTAAACTCCAAGGATGAAGGAATGGGAGAACATCATCTCTTATTTTTCAGCGGGGGACTAGGTCTAGTCATAAGACACGATATGGAAAATAGCACTTTCTAAATCGCAGTTAATTCAGCGCCATAGCCATGTACTTCTAAACTGATTCCACAGAGGCAAGGAGAATTAGAGAAGCTGAGAGCAAGGAGGACCAGTGAAGCTGTGTGGTGGCAGTACACCTGGAGGCGTGGTGATCCTGTTCACTCTGAGCCATTCAACAAGTTGCGTTCCAGCATCTGGTAAAGTACTTTGTAAGAAATAGCTGCTGTTACACCAGAGCTAGCTCCTTTCAAAAAGTTTGGGAGAGAGTTCTAGGGTTAAGAGCCAAGGACTCTCATGCTTTTGAGACCAGAGATATCAGAAATGAAGCTCTCTCATTAGTCCTAGAAGAAGCAGTCCCAGCCTGAGACAGGGCTCTCCTGCTTGGGATGACTTTCACAGAGCCATTCACAAGGGCTCTCAATGGCCAAGGGAGGACAAGACTTTCCTTCCAGCTGGGTATCCTTACCAGGACCCTCCCCAGGTTCTTGTACAGGGGTACCTGCTTTTAGAGGCCTACCGGAAACATATAATTCTAGGTAATTGGAGGCTTGGTCTGAAAAGCACACATGTACTTGTCTCCAGACACATACCCACTCAAAACACAGAGATAAAACCACATTCGCCTGAATTAAGAAATATATGCACACCCATCATTCTAAAGCATAGTCACACAAACCTGGGTTATAGCTCCGTCTCCTACACTCCATACCACTACTAGCTGGTAGCATCCAGGACCAAGTGATGGTACTTAGAGAGTTAGGCAGCCCTCCCATGGCCCGGACAGAGAGAGAAGGAGAAAACATAAAAACCCAAGCAAGATAAAGCCTCCCAGTGGCTTTGCTGTGGGATGTAATATCCTTACAGAAGATATTTCCTAACGGCAAGGCATGAAGGCAGTGATCCCAAGTTGAAAGGCAGAGCTCTACTAAACACATAGCCTGGGCTCAGTTATTTCCTGGCACCCTTTTTCTGCATTTTCTGAGGAATCTGGACTTTGATGATTCCTACTCCTATCTTATGAAGGGAAACTTAAATATAAGAGACTCCGAACTGAACGAGAAACAGGAAGGGAGAAGATGAGACTATTAGGTGCTTCTATGAAAGGAAACTCCTCAGAGATCAAACTTCCCTGGAGGCCAACTTATTTAGATGGAAGACTGGAAGGAGGCTGAGCAAAACATTCCTCTCTTTCTGTGCAGGATCTGATTTCTTCTTTCTTTGAGAAACTGTCAGCAAAGGACAGGAGTCAGGTAGGGGACTAGGGCAATGGTACAGGGCCAGCATTAGCGAAGAACTTCAATTTAAGAGCTGGCATTCCTCTATGCCCTTTCTTCTTGTCTCGGGACATGGGAGATTCCCATTTTCCCTTTGGATTCTATTGGTAGAGACATGCTTCCAGCCAGGCATGAGAATATCATGAGAGGAGACCTCTTGGTGTCTGATGTCTGGTGAGTGGGTACAGACTGCTTTTTCTGTCAAAGGAGCACTTATCACAGTGGGTTCAAGAACTGGCCTAGGGTTACAGATAAGAAAATGTAATACCAATGGAAGCCCTAAACAAGGCACAAAATGCCTTCATGACTTTAGTGAGGGCCTACTCTCAGGGTGACAGGGCCCAGGGATGGAGGGTGGTATGGGAGTCTGGTTGGGATGTTACACAGTATAGATGTAGTTTTGAAAATGCAGGCATTTTCTGATATCCATTTGCTGTCAGCATGGAAACATACACTTCCCTAGGGACCTCAGATGACCCCCATCCCATTAATCCCCAAACACTAAGAAACCCATTTCTCAGAGCCTCTGCAGCAAGATGTGAGTTTGAATCCAAAAGCTACCTCAGAACACATTTCCCAGAGGATTCTCTGAGTTATCACTCTACCTTCCCCAATAATGAAACTTGAGAGCCACCATCTCAGCCCCCTACAGCCCACTAGTGCTTAAGACGACAGAGAGAAGATGAAAGAATGCACTAACCTGTCTCCGAGGTTCCCCCAGCAAAGGAAGGGAACCACCTTGTACTGGAGGTGGGGGTTGGAGGGATTCCCCTCTTCAAAGGCAGATGAAGAGTCTCATCCTCGGTGGCTCTTCCTGTACTTGGCTGAGCCTCCCAAGCTGGGGAGGGGAACTGGGTCCCCTGAGGATGAGGAGCAGAGGGAGGAGGAGTGGGGGGAGGTGGAGAAGGAGGTCCTACCTGGGGAAGGTGGCACACCCCCCACACTCTGCCTGCTACCCTGGGGAGGAGGGGAGGAGCCTCTCCCAACCAGGAGTTGTCTCCTCCCCCTTGGGGGAGTCCCCCTCCCCCCCAAACTGGATCCTTGGGGAGCAGAGGGCTCTTTCTGTCCAACAGAGATCTGAGCGGAGGGGCTCTGCCCTGTTCCACTGTCTAGGTACAAGGAAGTTGAGGGGGGAGTTCTTCCCCTCTCCCGAAGGGGGCTGAAAGCCGATTCCTCTTCTTTCCCTGGAGTGTCCTCTGCTTCTGAATGTAAGGACTCCTCTCCGTGTGAGTACTGGAGAGGATGGAGGGTGCCTACTCCATAGGCATACCTCCCTTCTCTTTGCCTCAAAAGTCCCGAAGTGCTGAGAGTGTGTTTGGAGGGGTGGAGGCGCGCTGGGGCGGTCTCACTCTGCTTCCTTGAGTTAAAGATCGCCCCTTTCTACTTCTGGAAGTCTATTCCCGGGCCAGTGTGGGGGTTTTCTTCGCCCCCAGGAAAGAGAGACTCGCCACCTATAAGGGTCTCTTCTTTCCCTCGCCTAGGTGGTAAGGGTCTTTTCTTCCACAGGGTGAGAGGTGGCTCGCGTCCCCGCTCCCGCCTCCGCTCCTGGGGTGCCCCAGAGGGTGGGGTTTTCGTACTCCTCGCTCTCCCTGGGCCGGCCTGGGCAGCAGGGTCCGGGAGGCCGCGGCTCCGGACTCGGGTCACTGGCTACTGTGGCAGCAGCGCCTCCTCTAGTCCCGTCCCGTCCGGTCCACTCCCTTCGCGCGTGGGGCTCCCCGCGCTGCCACCTCTCCGGCTCCGGCCAGTCCAAGCTCCGGGGGAGCCAGAAGGCGGACGGACAGTGTCAGGGCTCGGCTCGGGCTCGGCTCGGCTCC